TTTCTTTCTTTCTTTCTTTCTTTCTTTCTTTCTTTCTTTCTCTCTCTCTCTCTCTTTCTTTCTCTCTTTTTTTTCCTCACTGAGTAGTTAGTACTGCTTGTGCATTCTGCTAGCATTACAGAGAGAACACAGCATATGATAAATGTCCATGAGAAATGAGAAATACCGAATCAATGAGTATAAAAGGAAGGCAGGGAGATGGGTGGGGTTAGATTTCAACTGATAGAAAATAAAGTGTTTTATTTATTTATTTTTTTAATCTCTCTTGGTGCTTTTAGGAATGCACAAGGGCAAAAGCAAGTTCTATAGCTAACGGTGAGATCAGATTCTAAAATAATTGCTTTGGCTTTTGTTCCTCAATTTAAGAGTTATGTTTCTAGACTGTATTAGTGAATAGGCTCTTGTCCTATACAAGGTGGAGACTAAGAAACCTTGAAGCTTGCTGCTAAATATAATTCTTAAATTTTTCTTTGTCTTTGGTTGAAAGGAAATCATTTTCTATGTTTTGGGTCTAGAGGTTTTTAAAACATGGCATTTCAGGATCTATCAGCTGGAGTCATATCATATTTACTATGGAATTCTTTGTAACTAAAAAATTGATCAGATTTATATTATGGAATTTCATGCTTAAGAGAGTCTTTGAAAGATGAGCATCTTATACAAATGTTTGAAATAGTTCTTTGTGTTTATTTTATATCCTGCTGAAATGCAACATCACACAGTCCTGTGTAGTTTAAAAAAAGAGAACTCAAGTTTATTTACTAGGAACACTAAATGTTTATATAGCAACACGCGCAAACACGAAGAGGTGAATATACTAAGTACCTTGAGGACAAACAACTCTTTCAGGTCCTGAGAAAGTCATTTGTGCCCCAAAGTGGCCATTTATTACACGATACTAGTCATCTGACTGACCTACCACAGCTTGCTGGCGGCTGGCTCTAATTTACACCTTGATAGCAGCTATCACCATGAAGGAACCAGGTTCATTATCTGATTTGTTTCTGCCATCCCTGCACTCACGAGTCCATTAACAACAGGGATATGTGTTTTTCAAATTACTGAATTAGTCATACTTCCATTAAAAGAGTAGACCTACAAAGTAAAATGGAGCAGCCTCTTATGACATTCCCTTCCATTTCTCTGTCTAGCTGTTCATTGACTTCAACAGAGAACATACAGGGAGCTCTCTTCTCAGCAGGCAGGCCCTCATCCGCTCTCCCTCGTGCTGAAACCAGAACAGGGTCGGCGCCAGGCACTCGGTAAACACGTGTTGTCTTCATGAATCTCAGGAGATGAATGGATGATACTCAGAGCAGGGGCTCTTGGCCAGGCGCAGGTGTAGTGCCCACCGGGGACCTCATGTTTGATGCTCTCATGAATATTTGGGGCCTCTACAGTATTGCAGCAATTCTATATGTTATGGCTACCCAGCATCAATTATGTCTGACAATGCTAATTCAGTACAGTCTTATTTACTCTTCTAGATCTACCAGGCTTCCCTGACACCCTAGTCTAGATTAAGTCACCCTGCTCAGTAGATGCTTAGCATCCTGTGCTTCTATTTTCCTAAAATAGGGATAAATCACAGTTGATTATAACTCATTTAACTGCATTAAGTTCCCCTAGGGTAAAAAACGTACTCAATTGAGTAAGAAGCTAGACACATATATTTTTTACCTTAGGGGAAAATTTTTTTTACCCTAGTGAGTTGCCAATTAATAGGTTAGGATTATTAGAGTCTTACCAACTGGGACAGCCTAAAATATTAGGCTGCAATGTCGGGACACAAACATCTTCAGGTCTCAGTTTTATGGAATGATAGCGATGCTAGTCTTATACTTGCATTAGTAAACACCCTCTAATATTTTAGTGAAAAAAAAATATTACAGAACAAACAGAATTCCTGCCTTTGGTCTCATCAGCATTTCCCTCCCCACATCCTTTTTTTCCCCTCTCTGGTTCTCACAGTCTATAAAGTCTTAGAAGGTACCAGATGTTTGGAGGAGGCTGTCCCATACATCCTAGATTTTAAAGTAGATGCAAGATTTATTGCAGCTACACAAATGTAATTTCAGCCTTAACTTTTGAGCTCCTGAGCTAGGAGTAATCTGCACCATGGCCCCTTGTCAAACAGAACAGCTCGTATCTGTGGAGTGTTGGTATCAATGACAAACACTCAAAATAACCGCAGGATGTTACTGAAAACAAATTCTGCCCACAAACTGTTTCCCTTTAGGAAATTTTAATTTACATAAACATTTTCTGAGAAAATGCTTTTGCATTCAGGCAACATTCAAAGGCTAGGCTGGAATCAGCTGAGTATAAATGGACAGGAACACCTGGGGTAGGCGCCCAAGCAGTGCCTGTCAATGCCTCAAACTACATTGTTCTCTTACTGCATTGTGCCTGGTAGTGAGAGCAGACTGCACCCCACTCTTGTGTCCCCAGGGTCCTACCTAGCTCAGGGGTGTGGCCTAGCATGCCCAGCCGCTTGGGTGCCCCAAGTTGAGGCTGGGCTGGGCTCAGTCCTGGGGAATCCCACATGCTTCTAGAAAGCAGCTGACAGTTCTGGCAGAGATCAACTGAGACTTTCATGTTCTCTAAAATGGGTCTAGCAGCAACTTCTTCAAAGTTGTCAGTAACTTTTCAAAAAAACCAAAAAAGCTCTTTATCTAAAATTCTTTTTCCTACAACAGTTAGTTGATAAAAATTTTTTGAACACCCACTCTGTGCAGGGCACAGAATTAAACGTCCTCAAGGAAAACTATGGAAATGCATCCCGAGTAGACTCCTGATTGTTTTCTAGGATTACAAAGAAATGAAAATTGACCAACTATAGAGCTTCAGAAGAGAATGGAATGCCATTGGGGTGTTTAGCTGAACACTTAAAACATTTCATTTTGTCCATGAGTTGCCTTTCTTTTGACAAACCCAACAACAACTGAATTCAAAATAATTACAACTCATTTGCAATTAATTTATGGCATAGTAAAGATCATGAGAATGTGCTACCAGTTCGATTCTTGCTTTTATTGACCATCGATTGCATGCCACTATTAACATTTTTGATGAGCACATAATAAAAAAAAAACACCATAAAAATGTATAAGCTGGGACATGAATGTAGCAGACAGAGATGGCACATTTGACTCAGCAACAGGAGGGAAGGGGGTTGATGAAAAGATGGTAGAAGCCCAAGAGTGATGGGCTACAGATGCCAACCAGAGAGGGCTTTATATATAATTACTGTTAGGTTACTGATTTGCTCACTGGTCTTCCCTGCTGCCTTCATGAACCCTGGAGCCCTGTCATCTTGAATGCATATGTGTGGAAAACAGAGTTGGCACATTTGACTGATTTATGGCACTTCACTTCGGGATAAGTATTAGCAAGAACATATTTTGCTCCAAAAGTCTATGTTGGTGGTCACTTCTCAGTGCCATAGCAGAACCGGAAGAAAGAAAGAAGTAGGATTTTTCTCACTGATATCTAAGACTAATAAAAAAACATGAGAAAGGGTATGAGATATATTAAGGGAGGGCTAACCACCACGTTCCCTTTTCGTTAAAGTACATCCAACACGCGGTGGGTTCAAATTTTAGTTTTTAAATCAAATGGTTTTCCAGACATTCAACTTCACATCTAATTGGCAACCAGGAAACCCAATTGATAGAAAGTATAAAGGTTTGTTTTATGTTAAAATAGACAACCAGCACTGAAGAGAAAAAGCCAATAAGGCGGTCACCATTGCTCTTATAAGTTAAAAGCCTATAATCTCATTCTTAATCATGTCCTGCTCTAAGTAACAAAATCCACATGCCCGCTTTCATCAATAAGGTGCAGGCTGAGCAAAGACAATTTAACTGTGCTATAAATTCGGGTAGTTTCAACCAAAAAGTATGAATAATCTGTATGACTCAAAGTGGGATGCTATGAGGTTTAATCTGGTTTTAAAATATGCAAATATTTTTAGGTTTCTTGATGAGAGTACTTTTTGACTAACATTATTTGGCTAGAGTGTCTTTGCCAAAATTAATCTAAATATATGTTCTAGAAGATCAAGTTATTCTTATATATTTTTTTAATTCATACTCCCGTCCAAAATCTTAGCAAAGAATCATATCATGTTTGTGTTAGAAGGGTACCTTAATGATTAACTTTTTAAAACACTTCCTCATTTTTCAAATAAAGTAACCCAAGATCATGCAAACAGATTTTATACTCCCACTACAGGGAGAGAGAACATTTCAATTCATTCTCTCTGAAATGATTTCTGGGGTTTTGTTCGATGAGTTCCATTTGAATCTACCCACTCTCAAATCTTTTTTTAAAACTTCAAAACCATTTTCTTTGGCGTTCCTAAGCATAATAGCATGTTAGCCGGTGGGTGACAGAGCCAAAGCCGAAGGCTTGTAACCTAAGCACATCTTTGTACAAGGGGCTTAGGTTTCGCTCCGTTCCAACACATCCTAGATCTTTTTTCCCCTCCCACCGGAATCTTAGATGTCAGAAGGCGTTAGGCGTGCCTTCTGGTTTGGAGGTTTGCATAAATGATGCGGCTGACGGAAGCCTCCGCGCCACTCTGCCTGTCACCACGCAATTGCAGTAAATGCAATCGAAAAGTACTCTGATTTGAAGGCCATTTGACAGAGGGGGAGAACACACACTCTTTCAAGGCCTGTGTATTTTCCTGGGAGCAGCCTGCCTGTAAAATGTGTCCTTTTATCCTTGGATAGCAATTTGGGAAATATCTTTTGGTAGTGCGACTCCCTGAGCGATTTCTGCAACTCAAGACGAGAGCCTTGACTCCCCAGACCTTCGCTGCATCTTCCCCACCCTCTCTCCTCCTACCTTCCAAAGACAGCAAGGCTGTTCGGCGCTAGGGCGCCGGAAGCATTCTTCTCCACAGAATGAGGAAGAAATTTTGCATATTTTAGCAAAAATATTGAGCTAGTTTCATCATGGACGTTTAAGGAAGGGGTGGTTTACTAATATCTGTGACTACGTTGAGGTAATACGAATAAGAGCCAGTGCTGTGGATTTATTTTTAATGAGATTTTTGTTTTCTTCCCCTAACTTGTCCCTTTCCACAGGAGCTCCCAGAAAGTCAACAAGAGTACTTTTCACTCTGTCAGAGAGATCAGCGAATTCAGTACAGGACCGTCCTTCACAACATACCAGGATTTCTTCTTCTTATTGTTATTTTAGATTTAGAAAAACAAGAAAAAAATGCAAAGTAATCTTAACACTTTGCTAAAAGCTGTTTCCCGGTGTTGTACGTAATCCTCGCGGGCTCCGTACGTCATCACGACGTCGGAGCCGCCCGCCCCGCCCACAGCTCCGTTGGAGATCTACGCCACCGTAATGACGTCACGGCTCCGTGGCAACGCCCCTTACCTATGAACAGATTCCATTCGGTGTCCAGATCAGCCTGGTTGGCCAGGCAGCCCTTCATGACGTTGAGGCAGTAGTTCTTGCAAGGTCTCACGGTGGGAAGCCCTCGGCAGTACGGGCAGTACAGCATCTTCATGAGGGCTCGGATGCACCCCGGGGTCGGGCTGACCTGTCGATCGATTGAGAAGAAAAAGAAAATCAGAAATAAGAAGGGCGGGAGAGAGACAAAAGATGTAACCCATTTTCTCCTTGAAAAAGAAAAAGGAGAAATGGCTCTGAGAAACGCCAGCAGCCGCGGAGCAAAGCAGCTATTAGGATCTTAACCCCTTGTCATACTCGATCTCCATGCCAGGCAGGTCGACATGGCAATAATCAATTTTCGTGAGATGTCCCCGTCCACATGTTGATATCTGTGTCATTGTAACCCAGCCCTAAAACCTGGACGCTGTTGCAGTGCCGTAGCACGTGAAAGCAATTTGCAAAGTTAAAAGCTCCATAAAAATGTAGGCATGATTAAAGTTTGATGTGACACCTTTCGAAAGTTTTCCAATTGGTTATTTGACCCTGTTTCTAAACGAGGCTGGCAGATCTACTGCCTTTGTATGTAACTTATTAAAAAGAATCAATATCAACTTGTCTGGCATTTCTAAGACCCAGGCCTGCTTAGAAGCAATGGGAACTGCCGAGAGAATGTCTTCAGGCATTTGAAGCTTTGCAGGTCTGGGAACTTTGTGGAAAATGGACCCAGGGTTGAATGTAAGGAGAAATCCTTGTAGTACTTCACAGGAGCTACTAATCAACCGACAATGAAGTGGCATTTGCCTTGAATAAGAAAAGCTGAGGTGCTTCTAAGTTAATCAATTCTAAGCCAATAAAATCTTTTTTGGACTCATTGAAAATTCTAATTTGACTTCAAGAGGAAAGAGTATTTAAAACAGCATGGACCAACAATGGAAGAAAATACAGAAAGTTCTTTTTATGACTAGACACAAAATTACTACTGTATTTATCTGGTTAGTGCCATGTAATTTTGGTGTCTTAGTCAAGTAACCATATGTTGCTGTTCTTGTGTTCCAGACCTGAGAACAAGCCTAACTTGTATCATTTGGATGTGTCGGAGAGTCACAGTCTTATCAGACCGACCTGGGCACGCAGGGAGCATTTCCATGTCAAGAACATGTCGATACTGACGAAGCATAACATCAATGTAAAGGTGAGACAATGAAAGGTAGTTCTGCATAAATAGGTACTTTCCACTACTAGAGCCAATCTCTGTCATTATATTCTTTACCTAGAAACCACATGTGAATTTGTTTTTAGCTTTTTAACTTGAGTATAGTTGATACACAATTTACATTAGTTTCAACATAGTGATTCAACTTCTCTACACCTTATGCTGCGCTCACCACTAATGTAGCTACCATCTGTCCCCATACAACACTATTACAATACTACTGACTATATTCCCTATGCTGTACCTTCCATCTCTGTAGCTTATTCATTCCATAACTGGAAGCCTATATCTCCCATTTCCCTTCACCCACTTTGTCCATCACTCCTTTCCTTCTGGCAACCATCAGTTTGTTCTATTTAGAGGTCTGATTCTGCTTTTTGTTTGCTTATTCACTTGTTTTTTTAGATTCCCCTTATGAGTGAAATCGTATGGTAATTGTCTTTCAACACCTTTGAGGTTTTTAATGCAAGGCTTTGTTTTTTGTAACATTCTCTTACTTTAACGATGTATACTGACTAAGCCCTTAATACATTGTTTCAGAAAACAAGGCTATTTATTTATTTATTTAGGCACTGAAAATTCTGGTTGTTCTTTTGATTTTATTTCCAAAATTGTAAGAAGTTTTCAAACATACACAAAAGTTGAAAGACTGTTATAATATATACCCATAGCCTCACTCCTAGATTATCATTTAACATTTTCCTATACTTGCTTTTTCATATATCTGCCCATCCTTCAATCTATCCATTAATCACCTTACTTTTTATGCATTCAAAGTAATATCCTTTTGATTTTTACTTTTCCTTGTAGTTTAATGTTGGCTTTAATAAGATAGAATTAACATGATCAACAATAGAAAGTTGGCATATTAAGTACTCCAAATCAAAAAGTGCAGTAAAATATAATTGGCCTTACTTTACAAAGGTATTTAGAGAATGGTTTAGTATCCATTAATTTTACAACTTATTTTCCAACAACAGAACGAAACAAAACAAAAAACATTAAGAACAAAATTGAGGAATCTGGTGGCTTTTAACTTGAGCACACATTTGTGTCACGATATCATCTCCTCCAGATAAGCTATTTTGTGAAAATGCCAAATTTTATCCACACCAGAGCAATAGTATCTTAAAACTTTCTTTTATCCACTTGTATCCCAAGTCATTCACGGAAAAAAGAGGAAAAAAAATCTGTATTCTCCATACAGGATTTATGTGGAATTTCAAATTCTTGTGCATTTTACTTATTTGATATGGTGGCATTCCTACAAATTTGTGTCTGTAGGATTTTGTTTTCCATAGATTTGTGACTTTTGTCCTGACCCTGATGCCTTTCTCCAGAGACCAACCCTATTTTCAGCCGAGCTGGCTAAGCAATTTCTTCCTTTAACTCTATTGGATTTTTGGTTTTCTGGCTATTGGTATGACACAGTGCTTTGCTTCTTCTCCCTCAGTATGCCAGCGTAAATTGGGAGCATTTGTCAATACTAGGGATCTCTTAGGCAGTGTGGACTCTGTCATCATTATAACCTGCACTGCTCCGCAAAACATGCAGATCCTTAAAAGGCATTGTGATTATGATTCAGGTAGTCAATAAGTGCTTTTGAACTGAACTCTCTATTGTGTTTCTCAATTTCTTGGCCACATTGATATTCAAAGAAAGAAAGACAGATAGATTTATACATCTTAGCATTCAACTGTTACCTTTTAAGTTTGTTTTCAAAGGTAATTATTGATTGCATTAATTCCAAGGCCTTTTTGTTTTGTTTTGTTTTAAATTGTGTTGGAACCAGTACAGTTTTCTCAGTCTGACATTTTAGAAGAGTCTCCAAATCAGGGTAGCAACCAACAGAGAAAATTGAACATCCTTAATAACCCCAAAGAACAATGTTGTTCAAGTTAAATGTGGCTCTCTCAGTACCTTTGGAAATGACATCCCTCCTGGTCAAATAAAGGGCATTTGAAGAAGAAGAAAATGGAGTGTGGAGGATCAAAGTTTAAGCTTTCATGTTCACAGACCCATATTTGTTGAATTGACATAACTGCATGTGTGAATTAAAATAAAAAAAATCATCACTTCAAACTGAAGACTTAGAAGTAAGCCTCTGAAAAGAAGGTTGCTTTAAATGCCAGTTGTGTGAGGGATATTTCCATTTTTAAATATTTAATAGTGTTTTATAATTGTGCTATAGTGATTTAAAAAAATCTTTTTATTTTGAAATCAATATAGACGCATGAGATGCTGCAAAAATAGTAGAGTCCTGGGTACCCTTCACTCACCAATGTCACTTGATGGTGACATTTCAAACAGCTGTGGTATGGGGCACCTGGGTGGCTCAGCTGGTTAAGCATCTGACTCTGGATTTTGGCTCAGGTCTGTGATCTCAGGGTCGTGGGATCGAGACCTGCGTCAGGCTCCACACTCACTGTGGACTCTATTTAAGATTCTCTCTGTCTCTTTCTATCTCTCTGCCCCTCCCCCTGCTATTGCTCTCTCTCTAAAATAAATAAATAGATCTTTTAAAAAAATAGCCACGGTACAGTATCAAAACAAGGAAACTGACCTTGGTATGTTGCCATGAACTAGTCTATAGCCCTTATTCAGTTTTCATGATTTTTTCAACCTGCATTCATTTGTGTGTGTGCACATATGTGTGTACACATCTGTACAGTTTTATTCCATATACAGACTTGTGTCGTAATACCACAACCAACATAGAGAACCTTTCATCACCACAAAAGAACTCCTTTGTGTTACCTCCTGTGCTACCCTGGTTCCTGTCACCTGGCAATAATCTATTTTCCATCTCTATAATTATATCATTTCAAAAACGTTATATGAATGGAATCGCATAGTTGTCACCTTTTGACCTTTTGAGCTTTACTTTTTTTTTTAAACTGAGCATAATGCCTTTGAGGTCCAACCAAGTTGTTCCATGTATTAATACCTCATTCCTTTTTATTGCTGAGTTATATTCCTTTGTTTGGCTATAACAGGATTTGTACAACTCTTCATTCACTGAAGGATATCTGGGTTGTTCCAGTAGTTGGCTATTAGAAATAAAGTTTCTATGAGCATTCATGCACGGGTGTTCACAAGAATGTAAGTTTCTGTTTCTCTGGGATAAATGCCCAAGAGTGCAATTGATGGGTCAATTCCTTGCATCTTGGGTTTAGTCTTTCTGTTAACTTCTTTTGAAGCTGTTTGTATATAATGACATTAATAATCATTTTACAGTTGGTATTATAATTGACAAGTTTTAGTAATCATATAATTTGTAACTAAGTTTTCTTAGTTGTGTCTGTAGGTGAAATAACAGAAAAATAACATAAAAATATTGAGTTCTTAGTTTGCAACCTTGTGCTTTTCTGTTGTTGTTTGTATTTCTTTTCTAAAAGGTTAAAGCAAGATACATTGAAACATGACAAGAAATACAAAAAGAACCCTTAGTAAAGCAGTATGGGGAGAGAGGACGAAGACCTATCTACCTGGCTCCTCACCTGTATCAGGATGTTATAGCAAGTAATTCTTACATTTTCTAAATGTGATTTGTGGCATGGCACACCCTTACCCATACAGTAGCAATTCATTTCAGGTCTTTAATATACGTAAGACTTTTTTGTAACTGGACCAACATTCATGCATTGATGCTCATGTTAGTAATTTCTAGTAGTAGCCAATGTAAAATAATTCTGTCACTTAAAATATTTTTATTTTTTATTTATTTTTTATTTTTTTATTTTTTAAAAGATTTTATTTATTTATTTGAGAGAGAGAGAATGA